ATAATGCCCTAAAATATAATACTTTTAGACTATTCTCTCCCCCATAGACTTCAATGCCGTAAACATATTTCATCCAGTTTTTCTCAGTCTTACCCCACCCCAATGCCAACCTCATTCTACAACAGTGGCACCATATAGCATTTGTCCCTTTGTGACTGAGATACCTCACTCAGCATAATAACTTGACAATTTTTAAGTTGCATATGAACTGACATACTATAGCATTGTTTTAAATCATCAATACATTTCTATAATGTCAAAATAAGCAACAAGAATATCTCTGACATCTCAGGGTGAGTGTCCATAAATTACCCTTCTTCAAATATGGTAACACTTTCCTCTTTCATTATTTTTAGTCATTTTGGCTTGAACTTTGGACATTTCTAGTGAAATCCTGCAGATGCTCTGAATTCTATTATATTCCTTTTTAGAGATGGGGCGGGGGTGTTAGTAGACAATTAACTTAATCCCAAACTCAGAAATCTCAGTCTGGTTTTGTTAGCCTTCTCTGAAACACTTGTAGTCTGTGTTGTTTCTGTGTAGTTCAGGAGTCAGCCAGATTAGAGCTAAATGTATACATAGTGATCAGAATGCCATCTCTAAAGCTCTTGCTTTCTGGGAATCACATTCTCACTCTTAGATGTGGTAGTTGAAGAACAAATTTTTCCTTCGACCCTTCAAATCAGTAAAATGGTAGGTTTCCACGGGGATTTAGCCTCCTAAAAGTGTAATGGTGTTAAAAAAAAAGAAAATTCACCCTGTGTTATTTCTTCCAAGTGTCTTTTCATTCTCTAGTTGTTTTTTCATTCTCTAGTAGTGTCTTTAAATAAATGGAAACACATATACAGTACAGTTATAGCTATTATTTATAGAACAGTTATCAAATAAGTGCTGCTCAACTGTTACTGAAGGTAAAACCATTGTCATAGTTTTATTTTTTAATTGATTTTTTAAAACTTTGCTATATATTTTTGTTAATATTCTATATAAATTTCAAAAGGCCCTTTTCCTTTCTAGTTTACTAATAGCTTTTATAAATATTTATGTTAATAAAATTGTCTCTTTTTTATGTATTTCTTCTCTCCCCACCCCCAATCCTACATCCCTGGGGATCACTGGCCTCAGGGGACAGACTAGATTTCTTTGACTTCTCCAGCTCCTGCTACAGCCACTCACCAGTGTTGTGTTTTTCAAGAAGATAGTTAAAAGGGAGAAAAAAGTTCCCATTTTTAAAAGATCTCTCAGAATTGTTGTTGTTGTTAAATGTCATCGAGTCGCTTGTGACTCATGTTGTTGTTGTTGTTATGTGCCGTCGAGTCATTTG